ATTGCTGATACAGTTTTTCATTTTTTTACCACAGACTAACATGTAATACCCAAAAGATACCATAGTTTACCATATGACCCTGCCATTGTATGATACAATACAATACTCGTTGTAAGCAAAACATTTTATTTTACATCACAACACTCTGTTGGTTGCCCAATAATTAAACAATCCAGTAATCCACTGATAAATGAAATATTGAAACTAAGTTTTCTTATAATATTTATTGAATTGTTACAACTTCAACCCAGCAAAGTGATGTCAACTTTAGGTGGGGGCTACGTCAAAGGTAAACACTAAGCCAAATGTATTTGTAACATGTTTAAGTGATATAATATATTACCTTCAACAGGTGGTCAGTTCTCCCTCCCTCCCCCCTCTCCTTTTACCCACCACCACCCTCTGCCAACCCTTACAACCTTTGCTAAGCTGAGGTCATGTTTCAAAGCAATAAGTCTTCTAGTTTTCCCCACATTGTCAGCAGTAATTTTTCTTTTTGATTAATTATTCAAAACTTTTTATGTTTGTTGATTTTTTATCTGCTAAAATCTAAGAACATGTTTTACATAAATTAAGAGGGTAGTTTTGATTTGGTTGTCATTGTTTGAATGGAAATGCTGATTCATATAAACAATGCATTTTCTGGTGGAAAAACATCAATAATATGCAAACATTTATTTTTATTCCTTAAGTATGTAACACTAGTTACCAATCTATAATCTTGGGGGGTGATTTTTTAAATATTTAAATAGAGGGTTTAAGAACTAGGGTATGAAGCAGGTTTTTTAAAATAGTAAAGATGAATAATAAATAGCATTAGAGTATGTATGAAAATATGAAAATAGATTAAATTGTATTGTACCTAATAAGTTATTTTGAGATCTACGTTGTCTGGGCCACAATAGATTCACTGCAAAGTTGTTTGTCACTTTCTGTTAATGATGCAACTTTAAAATGTTTTAATTAAATTCCAAATTATCATAACATGTTAAACATGTTATGAAGAACAAGTTCAAAAGCCACATAATCACTGCTAAAATATTTAGTTTTCAATACACCTAGGGATATAATCAAGAAAACACGTTCTATCAAACTTGAAGGTAACATGAACTTGGAAACTTTCTAAACTAAGTTTATTACATACACGCCGCATTACTAAAAGCATCGTATGTACTAAGCAAACTTTATCCTTAATTTAATCAGTTTTACCTTTATTTAGTAAATTGTATTAAATGTATTACTATTTCCATTGACTATTATCATTGACTATAGTCAATGCTATTATACTAGTCAGCTAATAGGTGGGCTAATAGGTAGGTGGATTAACAACAGTTTTTGTAATGTAGTGAATTTTCAAGTATTTTAAAACTTATTTTATAGTATAGCTTATCTTGATTTAAACGTCTAAAATTGCTGAAGGAATTTGGTCTGGTATAGAGTGCAGGGCTTGGTCCCCCAGGCTCCAGGTTCAAATACTGCTATTCACCAATGGTTTTTAACACGTGATAATTCCACGATCCTCTAGATATAGCCTTAAATATGTGTAAAACAGTTCCTCTGTCTAAAGCCTAGTGTCCTAGGATGTGAAGGTTATACATAAGACGAAAGAAAACCTTGTTTTGTTAAAGTAATCTCGTAAGGGACAATCACTACAAAACAACTAAAATAACGAGAAAAAAGTGTAACGATATTACATGAGATTGCTATTACAAAATTGCCACACTGAAGGAGCCTATAGTAGTAATTGGATTGCTCTGATATGAAAACCTAATTTTCCTCTTCAACTGTTTCTCTGTGAACGCTTCCAGCTATTGGAAATCTTTCAATATCGTGATATGATAAAATTGTCTATTTTAATCCACAATGTTGTATAAATAACAGTTAATTATTAATTAATCATACCTTCTCACTAAATTAAATACGATGGATTAAAGTGAAATAGTTGAGTTTTTAGATTATGATAAATTGTATTCCCAGTTAGTTTTGAACATTGTTACCACATTAATGCCATTGCAATGTAATATTAAAATATATTTTGCCCCTAAATGGTGTAGTAATTTGAAATAAACTGATATAAGATACACGTTCAGTAAAAGAATATAAGTTTCTTAGAGAAGTTGAGACCATTTAAACTTTTTTTTATTCATCCTCTTTGGGCCTTTGAGAAAAATGTGCATAGTTTGGCAAAGATCAAATAAGACCAACTTGAGACTTGGAGGCAAAATTTATGATTTTCTTTATTTACATAACAATAATTCAATGTTATGTTGAAAACTGCCAAGTTAGATTTTGTGTACCATCGAGGAAAGTGTTATTGACATATGAAAATGTTCCATGTATTGTAAATTTATGTCTGACAGTCTGTCATCAAACTTCAGTTTGGATCCATTCTTCTGTGAGTTAACTTTGTCACACATCACTTTTTAGTTGTGCACTTTTTTACTTGCAATTTTATTTGGTGTCAGTAGCTGATTTAGTATGCAATACACTTAATCTAATTCTGAATTACAGTATCTTATAGGAAATAACCACTAGGCTAATTTTAGATAATAAACCATAGTTATCTGAATAAAATAAAATGCTTTTGCACATGTAGAATTTGTAGAATTAATAAATACCCTCGCCGCAGCAAACCTGCAGACTAAGCGAATTTCAACTTGTCTGATTACATTTTTACTAAAATATTTCCATAAATAAGACATATTATTCCCTATTTAAATAACATTAGATTTAACAAGTGCTTAGGTTTGCTGCTACGGGGAAGGTAAAAAGTGTTTTTTGACCATACATCAATAGTATAGGATGAAATAAATAAATTTGCCAAATTTTATCAATATATACCCATAAACAAGTAAACTACAACAATTTTCATTTTCTCCATAAGAATAACATGGGAATTTCTAGTTACACTATTTTTGAATCTTCTCCGTGACCGTTAGGCATACGACAGCGCTTCAATATACTAAATTATTTCTTTTTTTAAGCTCTACAAAACGTTTTAGAAAGAAATCACAAATTTTTTTGTTTTTAGGTTCAAAAATGGGAAAAACCCATTTTTACCCCATAAAACCCTCCATAATCCCCCGTTCCCATGGTCCGATTATGCTGGATCGCGAACTCGTTCGAATAAACGTAGGTTTACACGTTTGTACCAAATTTCATCAAAATCGGATCATTTTTGCTCGAGTTATCGCGCTAACGGACACATGTATATATATATACTAGCTGACCCGGCGAACTTCGTATCGCCTAAGTTATAGGTTTCCCCTAAGACAGACCGATGGAAAGAAAGTACCGTTACGTTTAATTTTCAAGATGATCTCGTTCGCATTGCTCAATCACGTCCTGGTTGAAGTTTGTTCGCTACGCTCACTCACCTTTGGGTTGGAGCTCGTTCGCTACGCTCACTCACCTTTAGGTTGGAGCTCGTTCGCTGCGCTCGCTTGCCTTCAGGTTAGCTCGTTCGCTACGCTCACTCGCCTCCAGGTTGAAGTTCGTTCGCTACGCTCACTCACCTTTTGGTTGCAAATTAGCTGTTGTCATAAATGTAAAAGAAATAATAGTACTGCACCCTGTTGGTAATCCTTGTAACTTTAATGCTATTGAACATCATAGAACAGAACCAACTTGTTTAATTGAAACAGCTGTTAAGATTCATTAATTCCATTTCTCATAAGGTTAACATGGGAAACTCCAGAGCCACTGGGGCGGAGCCCTTTTAAGAATTTCGAAACGGGAAATAGTTTACGTCCGATTCGCATACCTACAGAATTTACACACCAAATTTCATAACGATCGGCGAAGTCGTTCCGGAGGAGTTTGCAGACAAACACTGTGACACGAGAATTTTATATATTAGAAGATATATATATAAATATATTATATAAATATATATATATATATATGAATTTGAACGGATGGTGTTTTTGGCCTCTAGGGACCTCAAAATGAAAAATTAGATCGGTCTCGGGTCAAGGTCTTACCATGAGTACTACGGTAATAGCTTATTCCCTATGGGAAATTCGCTAAAAAAATAATACTAAGACAATTGCTCGTGACTTCATCGTGACGAACACAATTTAAAAACAATCCAATAAAATATTGTTTTCACCATAAACCCCCCCCCCCCTAAACACTGCTTAAAATGGACTAAATATAGTTCCATAGCAGAGATATTGTTACTACTGTAGTCTGTGTTGTAATCATGCTGCAATCCAAAAGTATCTTTAGATTTCTCATCCTTATGGAACAGCTGAAGACAATTTTATTGTTAGTTCTGTACGGTTTATGTAAGAGGTCGTGTTTTGTTTACAATTTGTTTCCCGTTATTACAGCCATTTAAAACCTCGTTTAACCAAATAATACGATCTAAAAATAAACAATATATTGTCCCCTAGTTATTTAACCAAACAGTAAAGAACAAATCAAGAAATTAACCCTAAAATAATAGAAACAAAGTTTCGTCGACACTAGCGCCTTTGTGTCACGTACATGAACTAGACACGAAAAACGTGCTTCAAAATTTACAATGGGATGAGAAGTCTACTTACCAAGTCACTTGATTTATTATCATATCCCATATCCCTGAATCTGTCTTAACAACATATGGCTTAGTTAGTATGTATAATTTCCAATAGTGGTAAAGACAGATGTTTATTGTTTCTATGTTTACATTTTATATTTCTTCTTGTTTATTCATTACAAATTATTAAACAAGGAAGTTCATTTTTTAGTTTGTTATTCAATAAAAATAATTTTCATCTTAGTGCGTGAATTTTAACAGTACAAATAATACCACTGTACCAGTTCGAGTCAACATTTATGAATGATTGTACGATATGAAATTTCGTTGAAGTGAACCGACTTAATACTCCTGCACAATATGATTTCTTTATCCTTCAACTTATCAGGTAGTTGAAGACTTGAATCGCCTGTCATTACTTATTTGGTAGCTTGTACTCCAGTTCTCATTGAGCAGGCGGCTCTCCACTTGTGAGGAGATGGGTGGTGAGACCCCCTGCCCCCCTACTATAGCCCCCCTTCTGTATCCCCCCACACTCGCCCGACCTGAGGCTCAGTCGATAGCCCGGCAGTGGGGACCTCTGTTCGTCGCGACAAGGTAAATTCTACTTTCATTTTCACTCTAGTAAACATCGTAGTGACCTACTCCTCACTCAAATCACATTTGTTACAATCAATCGCGTTTGTTACAAATGTCATAATTGTGATATTGTTTACTCTCGTATAGTTGTGTTGTGCTTGAAGTGTAATTTTAGTGGATGTTTACTTTTAAATGTCCCTTTAGAATAGGTTTTAAAGTACTTGCAAAATTATTTGTGTAGAGGATTTTACTAGGAACGGGGTTTGATTATTTTTAACGTTTGTAGTAATGTTTAAATTCTTGAGTGGATTTTGAACCACCTGTAGATCCTAGGTGTATACGCAGTCGCTTACGCAGCAAACGGTGTGAGCCCGGGAAATATTGTTTCACTTCGTAACTAAATCAAATTTTATAGCATTTCGCACATTCGAAATCGTGCCAAGATAGAACCAAGATATGCTAAAATCGTGTCCAATATTCAAACTATACTCATTTAAATAACGAAAATTACACGCGAAATTGCGAAGTAATGATCGTAGGTTTTGAATTTTATTACAAATATTTACTGCTGCGAGAATCGCGTCTAGAGCGTTTATTTCAAGCTGTGGAGGTTTTATTTTAACGCCCTTACATAAAGTTTTATATTGGTTTAAATTTGTTATACCCGTAAATTAACCTAAATTAGCATACCGGTACCGTAAATTAAACTTACATTCTCGTAAATTTATCACCACTAGCTTATGTCAACTGTCATCACATATATTTTCAGTAGGTATAGAATGCGATTTGATACAAACTTTTAATTCTTGTTTTTGAATTAAAACTGTTTCTGACATATAGCCTACAACAATTATTTACCTAAGTGTCTTACTTGTCCTCTAGTTTTTGAAAGGAAAAGAGTTAAGACAATTCTGTGAAATTTTGAAAGCATTTAGGTGTAACATTAAGTCTACATTAGTGCACTCAAGCACATGAACACACGCAAAAACTTCAGTGTTGTAAATAGGATGATAATTAGACCAAACTGATGGAAACAACTTAATTATTTCCCAGTAGGTACAACTTTTATCCACCCTTCGTTTATAGTGTATACAAATCATTGTTATTGGTTTAACAACTGTAAAGGAATGAGGATTTTGATAGCCTATCAAACATGTTTACTTGACTTAATATTACAGGCTCACGTTTAGTTATTTTTAATTAGTATTCAGTAAGTAATAGATTCCAAAATATGTTAAATATATGTAGAGGATAACGAATGGCAGATTGTAGTTGATCCATTAGCCATACGTACATCGAGTTGGAATTTATGTAAATCGTGTGTCAATGATTCCGCGCGTTGTTGCTGTGATTTTAATTTACATTAACCAAGGCAAAAAGTTGTGAAATTTGTTTTTTTACGTCCTTATTAGCCAGTGGTATTCAGGTAACAATAAACTGTAAATAATTATGTGACTTGGTTTGATTGTTGATTAATTATACTAATACCAAAATATTGATCTCCGGGGGCGAAACTTGATGTGATATATTATTTGTCTTTACTGTGCCTTTTTAAAAATCCGAAAATGATGTCAAAAATGCCTTAGGTTCATCTGCATGTGTTGGAATAATGCGTCATTCACATCTAAAACTCTTTCGGCGTCTTATATTTATGGCACTCTGTTTATCTGTTTTGATTTATTCCGTTTAATGAATCATCATTGCACAATACAATGTCTCGAATATTGTATGTACTCGTTTATTTTGTTATTTATTTGCCAGTTTTTGAATGGATTATGTTGTAGAGTAAGAAATAGAGCCTATAGAGAAATCTTGAATTACTTGAATCGCCGTTTTATTCCTGAATGCTATATAATATGACTAGAACGAGACAATGATTTAATTGACCACAAGGGGGCCAAAAGTGATTTAACATTTTTATTTGTCAATTGGTCCACCAACACCTCAATAAAGGCCCCTTTTATTCACCGCGGTTGCCCGCCAGCGGGCACCCTTTGTAAATGAACCACATCTCAATACAAATGAACAAAGTACAAACGATAACTTTATTAACGATAACGTTAAGTACAAAACTAATATTGCAGTTTCTAAAATTTTCTGAACTAATGTACCCAAATGGTGAAATAATTGTAACGCCTACAATTCCATCCGACGACGCCCAAATGTCTTGGTTGATTTCAAACTTTGGGAGAAACTCTGACAAAAAAATCTAGCGAATAAGTACTATATAGATTTTCTTATATATTATTAATTCGTGACAACATCAATTAAAATATACGAAAAATAGCATGTATAAAATACAAAGATGAATATTTGTACAAAGAATAACCTTCCCACACTCTAAACATATACACATACGCTGTACTAAGCTTTACGCCATAGTATGACGTTAACTCTATTTAGTATTGAATAACCGAGACATCTTTTGTATTTAATTAATCAGTGTGTGGTCTAAGTTATCATGGGGCTAACCATGAAATGCATTACTGGATGGTGACGAAGACATCAACTTGGTTCTTTGTAAGTTAATGTACTGTTAACTTTGCGCATGTGCACATTAGTAACTTGTGTGACACATAATATAGTGAATTCACATTGGAAAATAACAAAAACTTTGTTTATAAAGTTTATTGGGGGTTTTCAGTATTCTTTTTGCAATAAATTTTGTTTTCCAAAGAGATTGTTTAAAAATCCATAACGTTCTCAATAGAAGGCAAATAAAGTTTGTGCATATTTTTATTTCATATCTAGACTACTAGTGAAATCAATGTTTTAAGCTAAATTAGTTTAGAATATTCCTATTAAATACATTACGCCTAAAAGAAAATTGTTTTTTTTTGTCAGTGTGTCAATGTATTCTTAAAAATATAAATCAGTGTTATTTGGAGAATTTTTAATATTCTTTCGTATAATGGTTATAATGTTTTCGGACAATATTAGTTGTTTGTTTTAAGACCACGCCTTTCTTAATTCGGAACAAACTAATCGTTTACCAACGCCTTCTCCCATTTTCTTTCATAATTTTTCAATACATCTTGAAAACCCTTTTATCAAGTCAGCACATATGATTTTAAGTTCTGAAGGAGTTTTTGGCCAACAAGAAATAATAACATTTAGACTACTTAAAACGTTGTCGATGATAACTAATGTAAAAAGGATTATTGTGGATAATGAGAAGACGTCAAAAATGATAATATAATATTAGTACTTTTTAATATAAACAGAAAGGCTTACATGTATTCAAACATATACTTTTCGCTAGATCATCTGTTTGGGCATCACTAACCTTTTTAAATAAGGATAACACAATCCTTGTCACCGCAGTCCATTTCACACACAAAATTTAACAATTATCTAAGTGGATTAATGTAATAACCTCACCTACAAAACAACGTCGTTAAAATTGACTTCTCGGTCAGTATCAAAATGATGGAATACTGTTTATAAAACTCATAGCTGCTCATTTAACGGAGCATTTTGCAATAAGCATGTTTTTCTGGAGAGATAAAGCAAAATGAAATCCCTTGGATGTTTAAAAGAAGAGGCGCGCAGCTTCATAACATTCCTCCGGCCCATTTGAAATTCAAATCGCTCTCAGGCCGGTAAACAATTAACCATTCAAGTTCATATATTTGCTTCACGGATATAAATTTGTCGCTTGCTTGATCTAGGAATAGTTTTTATCGTGACGATTTAGGTATCGTTTTGTACAGGGAATAAATCTACACTAACAACCTGACCGGTGAAAGTTAACCTGTAGGCTTTAATTTACATTCTCACAGAAGCGATGTTGTAGCACGATGGCTGTTTCACATGCTACTTTCTGTCTTCAGCTGTTTATTTTGTTTTAATTATCACAAAATATTAGATCAGCTGTTTACATTGTTGCAATGGAATTATTAGAATCTTATTTTTTGTACACATTTTGAAGCTGGAATGCGATACCATTATTATGTCTTGCTACTTCAGATAAGTTGTTTGATATTCTTTAATTATGTCTAAACAGTATATTTATGTTTTTCTTCAAAAACACCACAGAATATTTGTCAAATATCAAAAGTTGTAAAGTTCAAACCACCCTATTGAGAACTGTGGAGTAAATCAATTATATGAATTCAGCTTTCAGTTGAAGGAGAAAACTTTGGTAAACTTTATCCAATTTTCGCAAAGATTATCTAATTAAAAAATACTTACTATTTATCGAAAATTTTAAATACTTTGCAAGTTTTAACTGCTCTGATCTGCGAGTTCAGATACTTTGAACTTAAGGTCGATGTCTCGTCGGCTTATGTTCTTTCTTGGTAAGAATTATTTTTTATTTTTTCATGAGAACGTCTTAGTGATTTATTTATACGTACTAACTTTAGATACCTTCGTTCTTATTTTCTTCATAACTATAGTTAAATAACTAGTCTTAGTCCTTACTGCATGTTTAATAACATAATCCATAATTATACATATTTCTAAAATAATGACATAAAAATTGCAAACACATAGGTAGCTTGACTCGAATGCAAATGCTACAAATTAAACTTAGTCCAAATCAAAATTTTCGTTTGATGACTGCAAACGTTGACTAGTGGGTAATTTGTTCAGTGAAATCCAATAATGTTGTCGTACGAGTTAATTAGTTGTCTAACTCAATCCATCCAAAGTTTCCGGTTAGCTAGACTCTTAAGCGTCGTATATTTATTCGATTCTAGGAATGTGTAATACAATATACTCCCCTCGTACGAGATTTTCTTACCCTGTGACTTTCCACAGTGTTCGAAGGTAAATAAAAGCACGAGTTAGTCAGAATAGTCATGTACGTAGCGTCTTGTAATTTTGAAAACTACACGTATAATAAATGCCTAAAATACTCGAGTAGTCTATTAAATGTTATTACTACGCGATTTTAAACCTAATGTTTAACAGCAAATATTGACTTAGAAACTACACTAGATATTTTTATACGAATTAAATAGTTTGAATCTAGTTTGAAAATAATTTGGTCTTACTTTCAAGTTTTTCTATCT